GGGGGGGAATTGGCCGAATTGCCCTGGGCTCCACCTTAATAGGGCCCCAACTTGAGAGCGAAAGCATAAAATTGAGTAGGTTCTTTAAATCGGTCAAAGAATTTTTGAAATTGAGGGTCCCTTACAATACATCCACATGCAGTCTAGTTAAGGTCTAGTTGGGTCTAGCTAATTAGAAATAGTGATTTAATGCCCCACAAATTCTCTGGGCAGCCTTGGTACAAAGAAACACTGTATGTACGATTTATTTCATTTCAAAAATTGAGATTACAACACTTCAAAAACTGACTGTACAAAAACTATTTCAAGTTTACAAACTAACATATTCAACATATACAAATTAAAAGAAGAGAAGGAAGAAGAGAATGAAGAAACTTGACATGTGGACTAAGTGCACAAAATACAAATATACAATACACACACGGTAGAAGTAAACAGACATGAGCACAGACAGGCACGCAATTTGCATTTTTTGAAAGAAATAGGACTGGAAAATACGTCTCTTACATAGACTTCTCTTACATAGAATGTTCCAGGGTTTGACAATACAATCTTAAAGAAAGAAAATTGAAAAGTACATGTAGTTGAACAGAGGAGTTTGAAGGACAGCACTAACAACCTGACTAAGTTGTGTACAACCATGTTCAACAAAAGAAACAGGAGTCATAACTGTTCATGTTAATGTCAATATAGGGCCATTCCATTTAATATCCCCCCCCCCCCCCCCCTCCCATGGATGAGGTCAGTAAAATTTTAACCCCTACAAAACCCTCAAAAAATGTGTAAATTTCCCCCAATACCCCTTAGAAAAATTGCAGAGATCAAGGATGCTGACAGGCTTAACCCCTCAGAAACAACTTCAAATGTAGTCACCCTTCAGAAAAATCCATCCATGGGGGGGGGGGGGGGTTGGACATTAAATAGAATGGCCCATAGTGTATTGCCTCTGACATAACAGAGGAATAGAAGTTCCAATGTCAATCTCTCTTTAAATGTCATTTCTCAACAATTATCCATTTCTGTCTATATTTTTTTGAGGTAACAATCCATAGAATATTTCGAGCTGTCAGGATGGCACGACTTGTTGGTGTAACTATATAAATCAGCACATAAATTCCAATGACTTTATGCCTGTGTATATGCCTCAATTGACTCCATCACAAATATGGGCCATGGACACATTTTACTACTAAGGTTCCAATGACCAGATGTTATCTGAAGTAACATAATTTGGAATGGAAATTAAATATAAACTCTATAATCTATATATACAGTTCACTGGATATTATAAAGTTCACTGACACCATAGTTAATAGAGGGGATGGTTTGGAAACTCATTAGCGTTACAATAAACCTCACTATCCATGTTTTTGTTCAGGTTTATGCAAAAATGTGGTCTTTCATCGTCACGTGCGTATTGTATTTTTGCTCAACCAGCCAATAGCGACGGTTTTGTCCAATTGCTCATCCATGACTTTAACAATAGGACATTTTGAACATTCCTATTGGTTGACTTGAGAAAAATACAATACGCACGTGACGATGAAAGACCACATTTTTGCACAAACCTGAACAACATAGATAATGAGGTTTATTGTGATTTTATTGTAATGCTAACGAGCTTCCAAACCATCTCCTCTATTAACTATGCTGACACTCGGATTGAGAAGGTATTTCAGGGTGATTGAATGAATACGAATATGCAAAATAAATGCAGATTAATCTGTGTATTGAGCAATCATGATAAACTATTTAGACTCAATACGTTAACTGGCAAAAAATGAACATTCACAAAGCAAACAGAGCTTGTAAATATATATATATATATAAAATTGGATTTTAATCAACTTACCTCGAAACATGTAACTCTCTGACAGCTCTCCGAAAAAGGACTCAAACTCTCAAAGGAGTTCGGGAAGCATCGATAAAAAAGAACCGCACCCCCCACTTTTTATAATAACTTTGCATACTTAAATACCTCCGGTTTGAAAATCCGGACATCCATTTGAAAACGCAAGTCGAGATTTGGAACGGCTTTACATAACTCGGCCAAAGACACTGGGCACGAGTGAATGCGAAGAACTTCATGTTACGTCAAGAATAGTGTGCTGCTTGCCTAAGGGCAAGCAGCAATTACAATTCTCTTTTTTTTAAAGTTATTTAAAATTGTAAGGTCTCTAATTAAACTAAGTGTCTATTACTGTTCGATAATAATACTTAATAATACTAGTTCACGACTAATGTTCATTATATATAACCATTATGAATTTAACTTAATAGTCAATCTAAATTTAATGTCTCGTGAATGTGTTCTTGATAACCTTAATTAACTAAATTAACATGCTTGATATCTCTCAGGTGGCTTACTCAATCGTCCGCTTCTAGTTTTATAATATTGTCCAGTACTTGGCTCTGAGACTTGTTCCTCACGAACTTATCTGGCACTATCAGACTGGAAATCTTCAATTGGTTCCCACGGTCTTGATATCTGAATACCATACTTGTGCTTTCTGATATGATTTCTGTTTCTTCTAAATCGTTGACCATTGGGTGTTTGAATGATGTACGATCTGGGTGTTTCCAGTTTATCTCTGATCACTGCTGGTTTCCACTTATTCTGTACTTGTACTCGTACTGCTTCTCCTTCTTGCACTGCCGGAAGCTCCGTGGACCGGTACCATCTGTCATAATATTTTGCTTCCTTTGTTTTTCTTCGAACTTTTCTTTCATTCTCTCTGGATCAACAACTTTTGGCTGAAGTTGATTTTGGGCAGTTGGTAAGTGCGAACGCAAACGTCGGCTCATCAAGATTTTTGCTGGTGAGGCTACGTTACCTATGGGTGTGTTGCGATACTTCAACAAACTTAGGTACGGATCTATTCCATCTTGTTTTGCTTTCGATAGCAAACGTTTCACGATTTGAACTGCTTTCTCAGCCAGACCGTTTGATTTCGGATAATATGGACTTGAAGTCTGATGCTCTTCGCACAAAAATTCCACTTTTGTGCGAACTACTTGTACTCCGTGGCAGTGTACTGAGGACCATTATCACAGCAGTTCGCACAAAAATTCCACTTTTGTGCGAACTGCTTGTACTCCGTGGCAGTGTACTGAGGACCATTATCACTTCTTACGACTGATGGAATTCCAAGTCTTGCAAATATGGACTTCACATGATTCACAACAGCTCTGCTGGTGGTGTTTTCCAATTTGACTACTTCAATATAACGCGAATAATAATCTGCCACGACCAGATAGTTGTTCTGTTCCCACTGAAACAAATCAGTTGCGACCATTTCCCAGGGTCTCGATGGTATTGCTCCTTGCACCATGGGTTCTTTGGGATTCGACATCTGGTATTCTTGACAGGTTTTGCATTTGGATACAACGGCTTCAATTTGCTCATTCATTCTTGGCCAAAACATAATGTCCCTTGCTCGTCGTTTGGATTTCTCTATGCCCATGTGACTCTCGTGTATTCTTTCTAGCATCTTTCCTCTCACAATGAGGTGTATGATAATCTTGTCTTGCTTCAACAAGATTCCATCTACTTCTGAAAGCTCGTCACGATAGTTCCAGTAGTCATAGATTTCGCAAGGTGTTTGTTTTCTTGTCTCTGGCCATCCCCTTCGGATTGTTGAGAACAGGATCTTCATGGTCTGGTCAATCGCTGTTTCTTTCTTGATCTGTTCCAGTCGTTCTTTGGATACTGGCATTCTGCTGGTTACCGTGTGCACGTAACATTCTAACTCTTCGTTCATATTGTTATTATTGTTATTATTGTTATTGTTGTTATTATTGTTATTATTGTTATTATTGTTATTATTGTTATTATTGTTATTGTTGTTATTATTGTTATTATTGTTATTATTGTTATTATTGTTATTATTGTTATTATTGTTATTGTTGTTATTATTGTTATTATTGTTATTGTTGTTATTATTGTTATTATTGTTATTGTTATTATTGTTATTATTGTTATTATTGTTATTATTGTTATTATTGTTATTATTGTTATTATTGTTATTATTGTTCTTGTTGTTCTTGTTGTTCTTGTTGTTCTTGTTGTTCTTGTTGTTCTTGTTGTTCTTGTTGTTCTTCTTGTTCTTGTTCTTGTTCTTGTTCTTGTTCTTCTTGTTCTTGTTCTTGTTCTTGTTCTTGTTCTTGTTCTTGTTCTTGTTCTTGTTGTTGTTGTTGTTGTTGTTGTTGTTGTTGTTGTTGTTGTTGTTGTTGTTGTTGTTGTTGTTGTTGTTGTTGTTGTTGTTGTTATTGTTATTGTTATTGTTGTTATTGTTGTTATTGTTGTTATTGTTATTGTTATTGTTCTTGTTCTTGTTCTTGTTCTTGTTGTTGTTGTTATTGTT